CCTCCCCGCCGCTCCCCGCATCGCCTCTCCCCGCGCAGCAATTCCTCGCCCCGCAACACACCGCCCCGTTTGACAAACTTTGCACCGCTACCGTTTCCGATTGGAAGGGGCCCGCCACCTGCGACCACACGTCCGAGTTTCCTCGATATTGCTACTTAGTGCAAGGTTGGGCAAGCGTGGTGTACAAAAAACTTTTAATAACACTACGTTGTTGAAGTGAAGAAATGTTATAATTATGTAGTTATAATAATGAATTACTCAACGGACAATTTCTTGATATGAGTATGAAGGATATTAAAAAATTCCATACATTTTTCATTTAAAAAAATAAATTTAAATACAGTGAAGTACAATAATTAATGTGCTAATTAAAATTCATTATGTTGTCTGATTTATAACGTTCAATAAGTGTCCGTGAATTATTGTACCATAAGGAGGTTTCCCTCCAGAGGGAATAGAAACTTCAGATGAAACAAATTTAATGACATTGATATGTTGAAATGTGACTGTTTTTACATTAACACTTAGTTAAAAATCATTAACGAAGCTCTATTAATAAGTTTTGGAATTGATTCATAACTGAACCATTAAATTCTGTTGAATATGAAAAATGTTTTTAAATTATTATTGGATTGGAAGGTTAAAGGGAATCCTTTCGTTCTACTAATTCCTTCTGCGTGTGACAAAAATTAAGTAATTTTTAATATAGAAAACAAATGCGAAAGAAAATGGTTCCTTTTGCAATAGTTCATTTAAAGTGCTCAAGAAATTTTTTCCAATGTTGGAATTTTTCTTGAATTGCTACAGTAGTTCAATATGTACTTTATTTTTACTTAAAGTGTAAAATGAGGCAATATATGCTATATTTAAGTTATTTGCCATGTCCATTAATGCAATTTTTTAAAATATAAAATTTCCCTCTCTTACAAGTATTTTAGCTTCAAGTAAAATTATTCACTTTTACTTGCACATGTATATCCCTACTATCTAGATAATGGATAAATTATACATTAAATTAGTCGTTCTTACAACAATTAAATATTTTGTGATAAATTTTTCTTTAAAGCTTCGAAATGAATTTGTGCTCGTACAAAAAGGTGAATGCAAAATATTTCAAGAGTTACCATTAATGGTCACAGTTTATTTCATAGTTTTTTACAGCAGAGACATGTATTGCGAGCTTCTCAGTTCTCCCGCCCTTTTTTCTTGTCCTTAGGTCGCAACTAACTTTCATCGCTCTCCATTTTCCTCTCGCTTTTCTTCCCTACGGTCGTTCCACTGCGGCGCGGCGTTGATTCTCTGCAGGTATAATGAGAGCATTCATCCCGCCCTAAAATAAATGAAGAATAAAGCCGGACAAGAAGTTCATTCCGCTCCTTGGTAGTCGCTGCCACGCGCATGCGTCAAGTGCTTCGTCACTCTTATCGCGTTGACCTCCGGAGCAGCGTGGGCGTTAAGCTAATGGGGGCGAGCTCCACGCCGAGAGAAGGGTGTTACCTACCTCACTCACCGCGCAAAGCGAGAGAGCTTGCTCCGAAAGGGCGGTAGACATGGCGGATTAGGGGAATCACTGTTTGGGAAAGTGATAAATTTACAAGTATGCCTAGGAATTATTAATGATCGAGGATGTATCAAACACAAAGTATATTTTAAAATTTAATTTAATATGAAAAATTATTAGTCATACACGTGTTTCGGGAATAATTTTATCCCATCTGGAAAGACTCCACAGAGAAGAAAAGAGGTAAACAAATATAATTAACATATGAAATGATATTAAATAAGCAAACAGGAATAGTAGAGATACAAATGAACCATGTAAAATCTATATAAACAGAATACATAAACAAGTATAATGGATTAATCACGTGGGACTTAACTGGACACCATCCCACCTGATTAATCCATGATAACTGGGTATTAGTCCTATTTATGTAGATTTTAAATTGTCCACTTGTATCTCGTCTCATGTTTGATTATTTCACATTTTATATATTAATTATACTTGTTAACTTATTTTCTTCTTAGTAGAGCCATTAAAGATCAGATACAATTATTCCTGAAACACGTGTGTGGCTAACAAGTTTTAATATTAAATTACATTTTTAAAACGAACTCTATGACTATCTCCTCGAACCTTAATCATTATGGATTAGCACAATATCTCTCTTCTGCCACCCCGAAATGTGTCTCGGTATGTTTAATTGTTGAATAAGTGCGCTCATTACCTTCTCTACAAGCGGCGCGTTTCCGACGTCCGATAATGAACGGAGAACCCACGCGGCGCGGCGGTTGGCGCCCTGCCAACTGCCCGCACGGGCTTCTTGCGCGGGGCCACGGCTTCGGGGAATCCCCCGTATTGCGATGCTTAAAATGCCGCGCCATAAATTGTCGCTAGTAAATCGGCAAGGCGTTTCCTGAGGTATTTAATCGGAATGGCCGCTTAATAGATATTTGTAATGTCGCCGTTTAATTTTCGCCGAAACAATAGAGGGTCAGAGGATTCGAAATATTCGGAGCAATACCCCTCCCCCACCTCCCCATTTGCTCGTGGTAACTGTGAAAAATAAATAAGTAATGGCAAAATTTACTACGAGACCGGTTGACAAGGTGAGCTAGGAGAAATGCCTAAGTTTGTAAACCTGAGGCAGGTTCATGCGTCGTTACCTAATCAAAAAAAATATAATAAAATTGCAACATTGTCATGTTCTAATAATATGTACTCGTATTTTTTATACTTTTAACTGAGCGATTTTATGATTGATGAGAAGAATGTAAATTATACTTTTAATTGTTTGATCGAATGGATGATAGATTGATTGATGTTTTCGAGCACGTCAACAGCTTTGGCCTTTACTTTCAAATTAGGTGTTTAATTGACGTGAAATGCTATATATACTCAAAGAGGAAAGTATGAAATATAGATTTATTGGGTGCATTTTAGTAATTAAAAGATATCCATGATTATTTTTTGTACAAATTTTGAGATAATTTACTACTGCTCAATCAGCCATTTACTTCCAATTCAACTTAATGTGAGTTTTGGAACATATTCTTCGTTTATATCTACTGAGTACTGTGAATTAAAAGTCTGCAAAATATATTCCATTACCGAAAATTAGTGAATATAAACTGAATGTGATAATTTAGTCTCTCCCGTTTATCATACAGTAATCGAAAATTCTTTCAATTGTTTAAGATATTGGGGAGTATCATTTATCCACTTATCATCTATTATCTGTTAATTAGTTTACTACTTTCAACTATAACTAGCAAATACTTGAACATTTTTAAAGAAAATTAACTTCGAGATCTTTTTAGTAGTAAGAAGTTATTACTTACGTTTGTTTCTGTTATTAAAAATAATCAGTAAAAATGAAAAGCTGTCAATGCTTGAAATACAATCGATTTATTTCAGATAATAGGGGCTGAGTATGTTTCGAGCTCTAGGTTCGGCCTCAACTTCAGGTAATCTAATGGAATGTGAAAAGTGATATTACAGAATTAGTGTTTATCATAAAGGAAAGAAGTCATAAAATCACAAGCTATTTTGAAATTGTTCAGTGAAATTATATGTACAATTTAAAAAATAAATCATAAAGGAACAGAAAACTAAAATATCATTACACAAAACAAACGGATTCTTTACATTCACATGTATTTCACATTAATTTATGCACACTTCCTTATTAAAAATTTACAGTTATTATAACACTTTATTTACGTTCAGTTACTTTATAACAAATAACAAACTTCTGTAGACTTTGTCACATGATAAAGAGCGCTCAAATAACAACAAAGCAATAACATTGGAATTCTTAAGACATCTCTACAAACTGGAAGTTTTGAAAAAAAGCGCGAGGGAGGAGAAAGGGGGAAAGAGAGTTTTAAAATATAAATATTCTAATAAAGAATTCTTTCAAATTTATTATGACATAGTGACTCAAATAAATTGTCAAATACTTCTATTACGTATTGGATAATTATTTATTAGTAAATTAAGTTACTATTTAATTTATATTTGAATTTATCTTAACAATAATTTGTAACAATCATTGGAACACACCTTCCGTCGGAATAACTTGACAGATTTGACCTTTCCGGCATCTCCCGTGATAAAACCATGTACTACACTTTCAGGAAGAATGACCATGGCAGTTGACGCGCTCGGAAAAATGAAATTATCAATCATCCAATC